GACATTGTATTTGACTTTACGTTCATTAATATTTGTCATGATCAATGTGGGACCTGATGTGACAAGTCAAGAGATGATTAGCATAGACGCTACTGGAAGCAATGCAAGTTCATATTTGGGATATGTGCTTTGCTCCAGATTGTAGATGCTGTCTTTTGGGATCCCATACCATTCCTGCACAGTTATGCACAGGAATAGGTACTGCATTGCTCAGACTTATCCAATTGTTCAATGGGGCTACAATCTAAGGAGCTGGGTCATGTATGGCATAACTGTCACATTCTCATCTTGCAAAGAAATCATTGTTGACAGTTTGTGAATGTATATTGTGTTGCTGGTATGTTTAAATGTCAAGATAAGCTCACGGGAATTGGAATCGTGATCCCAGGAATGTTGCAAAGTGCAGTGAGGTTGCCATCGAGCACGATGAAGTTCTGTAGCAACTTGACACTCCCGGCCATCACACTTGGGCCTCCCAGTAGATCCCAGTAGATAGTAGAGAGGGTTCATTATTTGTGCTCTTGCAACACAGACCCTATCATCAACAAACTTGTCTTGACAGACAAGTAATTGCTTACAAGAACAGACAGTGAAGAACAGCCTGCACTTAATTCAGCCTCAAGCTTGCCAAAAAGTAATTGATCTCTCGGTAAGCAGGACGTATTTCTATGACCAATTTGAATGGATCACAATTGGTCCATACCAAATTCCAATTATTGAAATAACTTTCTTCTTCTAATAATGCATGCATAGCCAGAATGATTACCTTTCTTTTAATACCCAATATATACCGTTTTATGCAAAGGTTTGGGCACCCCTGGCCAAATTACGTTTTGTTGATTTTCTAAGTGAAAAGAAGTTAACACAACCTTTGCAACGAACAACCTAAACCTGAGATATTTCCACAAATTTTAATGAACAGTTACTATTTATGTGCTGAATTTATTAAATGGAAAAAATTAAAACAGCAAATATGGCATGTGCAAATGTTTCGGCACCCTACCAGTTGATCCATAACTGTTATTTTTTTTGTAAGGTCTCAGAACTTAATTGACTTGTTAGGCCTTAATCTAAGACAGGTGATGACAATTCCAGAGCTTAATAAATTCTCTGACTCTTCAAACCTCTCAGGGTGTTGTGCTAACACTCAACAACCATGGGCTCCTCTAAGCAATTGACTGGGGATCAGAAAATAAAGATAATCAACTCTTACAAAGCAGGGGAAGGCTATTAAAAGATATCTAAACACTTCCTGCTTGCAACTTCCACTGTCTGAAACGTCATTAAGAAATGGAAGTTAAGGGGAACAGTTGTAAGTTAAGACTAGATCTGGAAAATCAAGAAAAATCTCAGAACATCTCGTAGACTGGTCAAGAATGCAAAGCAAAACCCCCCATATCCCTGCAAAGGACCTGCAGGAAGGTTTAGCTGGCACGGGAGTAGTGGTGCACCGGTCCACTGTGCAGCATTGTTTGCACAAACATGATCTGCATGGAAGAGTCATCAGAAGGAAACCTTACCTGCGATCTCATCACAAAAGTCAATGGCTGAAGTATACAACACAAGACTTGCAGTAGATGAGCCAGAGGCATTTTGGAACTAAGTGCTGTGGTCTGATGAAGTAAAAATTGAACTTGTTGACTACAATCACCAAAGGTACGTTTGGAGAAAAAAAAGATGAAGAAAAGAACACCAACTGTTTAGCATGGGGGTGGATCTATATGCTTTGGGGTTGTGTGGCAGCCAGTGGCACAGGAAATACTGTGCGGGTAGAGAGAAGAATGGATTCTACTATCAACAAATCCTGGAAGCTAATGTCCAACAGCCAGCGAAGAAACTGAATCCGAGAAGAGGTTGGATATTATTACAAGACTATGATCCAAAACATACCTCAAAATAAACCATGAACTACTTCAAGAAATGAAAGATTAAGGTTTTTGGAATGGCCTTCACAGTCCCCACATTTGAATATTACTGAAAATCTGTGGGTAGATCTCAAACATGCAGTGCATGCAAGATGACTTAAGTATTTCTGAACTAGAAGCGTTCTGCAAGGAAGACTGGGGAAAAATCCTAAAGCAAGAAAAGAAAGATCATTAGCTGGCTACAAGAAATGTTTGGATGCTGCGATGTGATGAAAGGGGGTGTTACTAAGTACTGATAGATGCCATGTTTACTGTTTTATTTTCTTCAATCTGTTAAATTCAGCAAATAAATAGTTGCAATAATATGTAAAGTTTAAGTTTGTTTACTGCAGAGGTTGTGTTAACTTCTTCTTACTTAGAAAATAAACAAAACATGTAATTTGCCCAGGGGTGCCCAAACATTTGCATACAACTGTATATTTATATTTACAGTGGTGTGAAAAAGTGTCTGCCCCCTTCCTGATTTCTTATTTTTTTGCATGTTTGTCACACTGAAATGTTTCAGATCATTAAACAAATTGAAATATTAGACAAAGATAACACAAGTAAACACAAAATGCAGTTTTTAAATGAAGGTTTTTATTATTAAGGGGAAAAAAATCCAAACCTACATG